ACTTAACCACAGCAGTGAAGAAGTTAGGTGAATTAGTTGGGGAAACAGGACAAGCATTTCCTGATAGTCTAAAGTCATATGATGACCCACCAATGGAGCTCTTGGTCATTTAATGGAGGCCTTCTTTCTTACTGTGATGGCCATATGTAAGTGCAGTATGTTAGTGGGAAATGATTTGGGTGGGGGTAGGAGGAGATTGAGTTCACCTAACTGCCATAACACATTGTGCTGTGTACAGTATTGCAGTTAACATGTATTCATTAAATAATATTGAATACTATATGTAAAGAATGTAAATTATTGGTTAAAAATATTTAAAAAAAAAAGTTACTTGCAGAGATGCATTCCAGAGCCGTATGTATGGTAGATTCAGCCATCACTTCTTGGGAAAGCATTGTAAGTGGGTGATCAACTGTACTCTGTAGATGCTGAATTGTCCAGTTTTAGCAACACCAACATATTATTATTATTATAATCAAGGGGGAAGCGCTAAACCCGGAGGATTATACAGCGCCTGGGGGGGGGGGATGTGGAAGGCATTCAGGCTTAATTCGGGGAACTGGAGCACAGATCCAATTCCCTAAATCAAGAGCCCCTCACCAACATCAAGGAACCTTCCTTGAGAGGAACACCAACATAGAATTAAAAATCCCCATGTGAACCTTTTAAAGTAAATTTGTATTTCCTTTTAAAGAAGGAAATAGAGAAAGCTTAGTATTAGTAGTAAGTTTTCATTATTTTTTAATTTCAGGGACCCTTTTGGGTTTAACACTAATTTGATTTTGTATTTTCAGGATGGTCAGATTCGTACTTCTCCCAGGCTTCGCAAGGTTCGAAGAGACTAAACTACATTGAATTTTAATGTTAAAGTATGCTAGAGACAGAAGTGGTAATAGAGCTCATGTTTTGAAAAAGGAGCAGATTTTATGATTGGACTTTTATATGAGGCCTTATGATACTAATTATTACAGTATAAGCATTTTTATGCAAAACTCAGTAATTATGTTATGAACTTTGCTGTTTTTTTGTTTTTTTGGTAATGAAAATATTTTTGTCTAAATGTTATAAAAAAGTACTTTATTTTATTTTTTGTAAAGGTGTTGTGATCTTGTTATATTTGCACCATTACAATATAACCTAGTCAGGGTAGGATCATTAAGAACAAAAGGGCAGTTGAAAGAAGTTGGTCTATTGCTTCAGTATTTAAGCTTTGGTAGTCTGAAGCATCTCTGGTCATTTCTTCAGGTTGGAAAAAAAATGATGAAAATATAAAGTACTGCAGTACTTAATTTTTTTTTTTTTTAAGGAACCACTTTTTTTTCTGTAGTTCCTATAATATGCACATCAGTTTCTTGTGGTAGCATTTATTTTTGGTTTTGTTAATTTGTAAGAGGGATTTTATACATCTAAAAAATTTAATAGAAATTAATTTATTCTAACTTGCATGACAGACTAATTGGTTCCAAAATGTTTGTCATACCATCCTTCACCATTAGGCAAGGGAACTATGGGTTATATAATCTTAAAACTGAGGTAATGCCTTATGGTATATAAAGAATCTTTATGCAGACTTTTATTAGTAGACTAATGTATTTACTCCATTCCTTATTGATAAGTGTAATTTTTGTAATGTCTTTAGTAAAAAGCTGAATTTAAATTAATTTTAAGATTACTACTTGTCTGGTAGGAAACTTAGTTGAATACAGTATTTTTGTTAAGCATAGTTTGAAATGAAGTTCAACATTTTTGTAAGGGAAAGGATTAGGGGTGGGAGGGGGTAAGGGCTTTCATATTGGTCTGACTGCACATTGCACTGATAGTGCAGTTTTGCATTGTACTGCACATTGGCCAAGGCAAAAAATAAGATTCCTTTGCTAATAAGGAATATTCTTTTAGTGAGGAAAATGTTGATTTGGCAGTAAACATGCAGTGTAGATACTTGTGTGCATTTAAGTGAATATGGATGTTGCTCTATTCATATGCTGATGCCCAGTGACCATTAATTCATGGTTTTGAGTTGGTTATTTATTCCTGCCTGTATGTTGTACAGAAGCTTTTACAATAAAAATTGATTGCTAAAGTTCTTGCTATCTAGTCCCCATTTAACTCCTTCAGGGCAGACTCCTTCATGAGAAAGTAGAGGGTAAGGGTATAATATAATGCCTTGCCTAGAGCTTCCCTTGCTAGGTTGGCTTACTGTACTAATACTGCCTTTAATTTTCCATGCATGGACCCCTTGATGGAAGTGCCTTCATGTTGATGGATTTGCTCTTAAGACATTATTTTTTCCCTTTGATTGAAATTGGACTACCTCCCATTCCCCAGGTGCTATGACACCCATGAATTTCTTTCCCCTTTGTTAGCCCTTGTGGTTTAGCACTTCTTTATTATCCCTCTCTTGTAATAAATTTAAGGGGGGGTACTTAAATACCACTTAAGGACTAAAATTTACACTACCTTCCTTTCCCTTGGCTCAAGTGAAATTACCTTCATTTCCCAAGTGCTCTGTGCTACTAGGTTAGTGCTTCCCTGTGAATATATCCTCCTTTGTGAATGCACTAACCCTTCTCTAATTACTGTATGACCTGCATGGGGTTTAGTATATTTTAAATGAACTGAGTGCTGTGTAAACTCCCCAGCCTCATAAAAGGTATATTTGGCTTACCCTTGGATTTGCTGTAAATGCTTTTAATTTCTGAAGGCACTGTAAGACCCCCTATAGGTTTTAACCCCCTCCCTCTTCAGTGAACATTTATAATCCATGATTAGTGCTTAGTTGTATATATACACCCCTTTTAAGAGCAATATAGAAATCTCAATCTGAACCCCTCAAAGGGAGGTAATTGATACTGGTGAAGTCCTCTTGATTTAAGGAATTAGACCTATGCTCCAATTCCTTGAATTCAGCCTGAGTGCTTTGCACTCTTCCAGTTGTCCCCAGCCCCTATTGGTTAAACACCGAGTGTAAACTGTAAAGTGCCTTTGTCAATGTTGCACTCGTGAACCAAGACAGACATCCTCCCCTTCCTTGGATTGAAACTGATTGCCTCCCATTACCTGTGTGATGTATAAACACTAGGGGTTCAGTGCTTCACCTTGACTAAAATGGCTAGGCAATTATACTTTACATTAGTGCTTCTTTTTGATTATAATAATAATAATATACTTTACATTATTCCTTTGTGGGCCTTAATGCCAGTGAAGGACTCTTGATACAAGAAATAAAGTGCTCTCATTCATTGCTGGAAATTAGATTGCCTCATTTCTCAGGTACTGTGTGATTGATTTGTAAAGGCTTGGTGCTCCCCCCTCCATGAACTTTAATATGGTGAAGCCCTGAACCCATGGAAGGTTTGGAAAATGCAGTTGGGCTTCATCTAAAGGAAAAATTGCTTCAATTATAATAAAGGAAAGAAAAACTCCCTCTTTGACTTTGTCAGCAACTGCTTTATTACACACTTTGAATATACTTTCCTTTGACCCTTGTGGGTTTTGAGCTTAGTTTTGATTATAATATACATACTTCCCTTCAGCACATCTCATTGCCCATACTAACTCATCACCTTTGCTTGTCTCTGACCAAGCATATTACATACACCTTTAGGACATCTTACCCTGCAGTGCTGTATGACCTTGGTGGGTTTAGTGCTTGGTTAAGATAGTAAAAATAGAAGGAATTTGGGCCACTTCTATCAAGAGCCTTTCACCAGGATCAAGGTGGCACCTATGAATTTTATGAAAGTTAATTACCTTTTTCCCTAGGCACTGAGACCTCTTATGGGATTAATGCTTCACTTAACACCATATGCACTAATAAATTGATTGGCAACTGAAAGATAAAGGGTTAGATATTAAGTAATTTGGATGAGGGACAAACAGGACGTCATTTGCAATTTTTCATAAGGTAAATTACTACAGTATACAGCCTCTCTTCGCTTAACAACTGAGTTCCGTTCCTAAGACCATGTCGTTAAACGAATTCGTTGCTAAGTGAGGAGCATACTATAATGGTAGTGGGTTTGTCAGCCATCTTTGATATTGTTTTAATGTCACCTTTGCAACATTTCTGGTAAATTTTTAAGTGTTTATACAGTAGTGTACTGTATATTGAAATAAACAATAAAGGAAATCAGCTCTAATATACATTATTTAGGTATAAATATGGTCCAAGGCGTCGGTTAATGAGTACATTGCTAAGCGAGGAGAGGCTGTACAGTGGACCCCCGCATACCGCACGCATCACATACCGTACAATCCGCATACCGCTCGCTTTTTTCGCAAAAATTTTGCCTCGCATACCGCCCAAAAACCCGCCCTTCGTCCGAGACTCGTCCAATGTGCGGCCTGAGCCACGCTCACAAGTTCCGCTGGTGGCATTGTTTACCAGCCAGCCTCCGCGGTAACATCCAAGCATACAATCGGAACATTTCGTATTATTACAGTGTTTTTGGTGATTTTTTCTGGAAAATAAGTGACCATGGGCCCCAAGAAAGCTTCTAGTGCCAACCCTACAGCAATAAGGGTGAGAATTACTATAGAGATGAAAAAAAAGATCATTGATAAGTATGAAAGTGGAGTGCGTGTCTCCGAGCTGGCCAGGTTGTATAATAAACCCCAATCAACCATCGCTACTATTGGTGGTACAGCTGCTGCTGCACTGTCAGCTGCTGCTGCTGCTGTAGCATCGTCTGCTGCTGCTGTACCACCGTTGTTGGTGTGGCTTATTGAGAATACCAAGAAACAATTAACCCCAGAGGATTTGCCACCCAGGATAACCCAAAAAAGTCAGTGTCATCGAAGACTGTCTAACTTATTTCCATTGGGGTCCTTAATCTTGTCTCCCAGGATGCAACCCACACCAGTCGACTAACACCCAGGTGAACAGGGAAAAATGCCTGGAACTAGTGCTCATATTGGTGAATTTAAAGCCAGCAAAGGTTGGTTTGAGAGATTTAAGAATCGTAGTGGCATACACACTGTGATAAGGCCTGTTCTGGAAGAAAATGCCAAACAGGACCTACAGTACTCAGGAGGAAAAGGCACTCCCAGGACACAGTGTCTCATCAGTCATTGCTGCATCTTCAATAAAGGTAAGTGTCATTTATTCTTCATTTAGTAGAGTAGTACATGCACAATATATATTGTGCATGTACTACTCTACTACTGTGCATGTATCCTTCTCTTTGTGTGTAGGAAAATGTATATTTCATGTGGTAAAATTTTTTTTTTCGTACTTTTGGGTGTCTTGCACGGATTAATTAGATTTCCATTATTTCTTATGGGGAAAATTCATTCGCATACCGAACATTTCGCATAACAATCAGCCCTCTTGCACGGATTAAGGTCGCTATGCGGGGGTCCACTGTATTTTTAAATGCAGAGTATTAGTAAAGTACACACAAAATGGTTGTTCCCATATTCTATGCTGTGAAGGCAGATGACAATTTTCACATTTTGCACCAACGCTGAAAAGAAGTTGAAAGTGTTGTACTACACAACATAGATAACTGCTTACAATGAAGGAAGAATGCAAAGATGTATATCATAACTAGGAAATACATGTACAGTGGAACTTCAGTATTTAAATGTACTGGACCTCTAACAAACCAGTCTGAACAATTTTGCATAGAAAATATTGACCTGGTCTCAATGTTTCTGGAGTCTGAATGTGCAAACTTGTTTAGAATTGTTAAAAAGTCCTGTTCATAAGTGCTTCGAAGCGACCTCTGACACTGACCTAACTCAGACTTTTTGAAGAGTCAGTTCAACATCCTCCAGTGTGAGGCTGATAATTAAAGCCTGGGAAATACTGTTTTGGATGTAGAACATATTGCAGTTCAAACACTGGGGTTCTACTGTACAATATAAGATTCTGCATTGACTTGTATTGGTATAACTAAAAACAAATACGGGAAATTTTAAATTAATGACAACAATTTATGTACATGAACTGCTGTCATTATAGGAATGCTAAGCTGTATGACCCTGGTTGGTTTAGCACTTAGTTTTGATTATAATAGGAGTGCTAACCTGTAGGTTGTAAAACATCTGGGGGAATGGAAGGATTTCACTATTCAAGGAACTGGTACACAATTTACGTATGAATCAGTAGGACTGCTGTATTTGCAGCTGTGGCATTACTGCTGCAGTTTTATGAATAAACTTTGTCCTATGTAGGACAAAGGAAATTTTATGTACATAAATGTCAAGAGATTATAAAAAAAAATTTGAGACACATGATGGGTTTAGTTCTGATTGTATTATTTTATAGGAGACACTGAGGAGTGTACTATTGTCACTGACCTGCCAGTGACATTTTAATGGGGAAGGAAGCATTAAACAGACAGGGATAATATATATAGCATGTAAGGACTGGGAGACACTCAAGTTGGATCAGGGAAGGACAAATACAGCACTCGTGGGTTTTGCATATATCTAGGGAAATAACTCCAAAAATACTGAGACCCTGCTGTTTATAACACTAGATCAACCCCCACACAATTTAGGCACTTCTGTGATATAGGGCATTACAGTAAAAATAATGATCAACCTTGTACAATGTTTCATAAAAAAAAATTTCAAGACAAAAGTCTCATTAATAAAAAATATACAGATATGACTATTGTGGTTGTACAGATTGTATATCACTGATGAGATACCCTGAGTAATTTGTTCGAAAATACATTATAAATATGAAATAAATTTACAGAGCATTTGGAGCATTATATCCACTTCTGTTTACAAAATGTGAGTTCATCTTGGTGGTGAAAGCAGACAATGTAGCTGCTGGGGTGACCAAGTTGTAAGAAAAAGACACTCCCGACTTAGAACTATTAGGCTGCTGCACACCTGCAAAAACAAGAAGTGCTATGAAGGAAAGGTTCAAACTTTTTGAAGATGCAGAACTCGCATAAAAAATAACCATAAACTTGTATCGTTAAAATTTTATATTTTGGTAAATTTATGCTAATTAAAAGTATAGTATGTACATTTCAGATACAGTACTGTGTCTCACAAAAATATACAAGTTAACAAATTTACAAGACAAAGAAGGGCAGTCTAATTTTGACCAAATAAAGAAATAATTTTATTTATTTCACATGGGAAATGCTAAACACACAGGAGTTATACAGTGCCTTGGGAAAATGAATGGCAATCAGTGTCGGAGGAGAGAGCAGTGCCATTCCTTTGGATTAAGAGCCTTTTCCTAGCATCAAGGACCTTATAGGATAAAAAGAATATAAAAATAACTTTTTTTTTTTTTTAACAAGTTAGCCGTCTCCCACCGAGGCAGGGTGGCCCAAAAAGAAAATACTTTCATCATTCAACACTTTCACCTCACTCATACAAAATTACTGTTTTTGCAGAAGTGCCCAGAACACAACAGTTTAGAAGTATATACATATAAAGATACACAACATATCCCTCCAAACTGCCAACATCCCAAACCCCTCTTTTAACCCTTAAACTGTCCAAACGTAGATCTACGTTTTTTCAACATTTGAAAATATGTAAAAAAAGTAGACCTATTTTTTGAGCACAACGCATGTGGGCATAGATCTGTTTGGACAGTTTAAGGGTTAAAGTGCAGGCATTGTACTTCCCATTTTCAGTACTCAAGTCCAGCTATATAAAAATAACCAGTTTCCCTGAATCCCTTCACTAAATATTACCCTGCTCACACTCCAACAGCTTGTCAAGTCCCAAATACCATTTGTCTCCATTCACTCCTAACACGCTCACGCATGCTTGCTGGAAGTCCAAGCCCATCGCCCAGAAAACCTTTACCCCTTCCCCCCAACCTTTTCGAAGACGACCCCTACCCATCCTTCCTTCCCCTACAGATTTATACGCTCTCCATGTCATTCTACTGTGATACATTCTCTCTAAATGACCAAACCACCTCAACAACCCCTCTTCAGCCCTCTAATACTTTTATTAACTCTACACCTTCTCCTAATTTCCACATTCCGAATTCTCTGCATAATATTTACACCACACATTGCCCTTAGAAAAGACATCTCCACCTCCAACCGCCTCCTCGCTGCAGCATTTACAACCCAAGCTTCACACCCATATAAGTGTGTTGGTACCACTATACTTTCATAAATTCCCTTCTTTGCCTCCATAGATAATGTTTTTTGTCTCCACATATACCTCAATTATAGGTAGTAGGTTGGTAGACAGCAACCGCCCAGGGAGGTACAGTGGACCCCCGGTTAACGATTTTAATCCGTGCAAGAGGGATAATTGTTATGCGAAATAATCGTTATGCGAATGAATTTTCCCCATAAGAAATAATGGAAATAAAATTAATCCGTGCAAGACGCCCAAAAGTATGAAAAAAATTTTTTTTTACCACATGAAATGTTAATTTTAATACACACAAACTGAAAAAGGCATGCACAATTACATGACACTTACTTTTATTGAAGATCTGGTGATGATTGATGGGATGGGAGGAGGGGGAGAGCATTATCTTCTTACTGTTTAGAAGGGGAATCCCCTTCCATTACGACTTGAGGTAGCAAGTCCTTTTCCGGGGTTACTTTCCCTTCTTCTTTTAATCCACTAGGACCAGCTTGAGAGTCACTGGACCTCTGTCGCACAACAAATCTGTCCATAGAGCTCTGTACCTCCCGTTCCTTTACGATTTGTCTAAAATGGGCCACAACATTGTCATTGAAATAGTCACCAGCACGGCTTGCAACAGCTGTGTCAGGGTGATTTTCATCTATAAAGGTTTGCAGTTCAACCCACTGTGCACACATTTCCTTAATCTTTGAAGTAGGCACAATGGATTCCACAACTGGCATAGGCTTCTCAGGGTTAGCCCCAAACCCTTCAAAATCTTTCTTAATTTCCATACTAATTCTCACCCTTTTTACCACAGGGTTGGCACTAGAAGCTTTCTTGGGGCCCATGGTCACTTATTTTCCAGAAACAGCACCGAAAACACTGTAATAATACGAAATATTCCGAGTGTATGCTTGGATGTTACCGCGGAGGCTGGCTGGTAAACAATGGGACGGGCGGCACATGTGAGGGCACATTGGACGCGTCTCGGACGAAAATCGGTGAGCGGGTTTTTAATCGGTATGCGCGGCAAAAATTTTGCGATAAAAGTAAGCGGTATGCGGAAAAATCGCTATGTGATGCCATCGTTATGCGGGGGTCCACTGTACTACCTTCCTGCCAAGTGAATGTAAAACGAAAGCCTGTAATTGTTTTACATGATGGTAGGATTATACTTTCATCATTCAACACTTTCACCTCACTCACACATAATCACTGTTTTTGCAGAGGTGCTCAGAACACAACAGTTTAGAAGCATATATGTATAAAGATACACAACATATCCCTCCAAACTTCTAATATCCCAAAACCCCTCCTTTAGAGTGCAGGCATTGTACTTCCCATTTCCAGGACTCAAGTCCAGCTATATAAAAATAACCGGTTTCCCTGAATCCCTTCACTAAATATTACCCTGCTCACACTCCAACAGATCGTCAGGTCCCAAATACCATTCGTCTCCATTCACTCCTATCGAACACGCTCATGTACACCTGCTGGAAGTCCAAGCCCCTCGCCCACAAAACCTCCCTCACCCCTTCCTTTCAACCTTTTCGAGGACGACCCCTACCCCGCCTTCCTTCTCCTACAGATTTAAATGCTCTCCATGTCATTCTACTTTGATCCATTCTCTCTAAATGACCAAACCACCTCAACAACCCCTCTTCAGCCCTCTGACTAATACTTTTATTAACTCCACACTTTCTCTTAATTTCCACACTCCAAATTTTCTGCATAATATTTACACCACACATTGCCTTAGACAGGACATCTCCGCTGCCTCCAACCGCCTCCTCGCTGCTGTTCTTGTTCTTGTTTATTTCCTCTTACCTCCATGGGGAAGTGGAACAGAATCCTTCCTCCGTAAGCCATGCGTGTTTTAAGAGGTGACTGAAATGCCGGGAGCAAGGGGCTAGTAACCCCTTCTCCTGTATATATTACTAAATGTAAAAGGAGAAACTTTCATTTTTCCTTTTGGGCCACCCTGCCTCGGTGGGATACGGCCAGTGTGTTGAAAAAAGAAAGATATACCTCAATGCACCACTCACCTTTTTTCCTTCATCAATTCTACCTCATCCTTCATACATCCATCCACCGACACATCAACTCTCAAGTATCTGAAAACATTAACTTCTTCCATGCTCCTCCTCCCCAATTTGACATCCAATTTTTCTTTATCTAAATCATTTGATACCCTCATCACGTTACTCTTTTCTATGTTCACTTTCGACTTTCTCTACCTTTACACACTCTCCCAAACTCATCCACTAACCTTTGCAACTTTTTCTTAGAATCTCCCATAAGCACAGTATCATCAGCAAAAAGTAACTGTGTCAATTCCCATTTTGTATTTGATTACCCATAATTTAATCCTGCCCTTCTCCCCAACACCCTAGCATTTACTTCTTTTACAACCCCATCTATAAATATATTAAACAACCATGGTGACTTTACACATTCCTGTCTCAGACCCACCTTTACTGGAAAGTAGTCTCCCTCTCTTCTACACACCCTAACCTGAGCCTCACTATCCTCATAAAAACTCTTTACAGCATTTAGTAACTTACCACCTATTCCATATACTTGCAACATCTGCCACATTGCTCCCCTATCCACTCTATCATATGCCTTTTCTAAATCCATAAATGCAATAAAAACTTCCCTACCTTTATCTAAATACTGTTCACATACATGCTTCAATGTAAACAATTGATCTATACATCCCCTACCCACTCTAAAATCTCCTTGCTCATCCGCAATCCTACATTCCGTAAGCCATGTGTTTCGTAAAAGTCAACTAAAATGCCAGGAACAATGGGCTAGTAACCCCTTTTCTTGTAAAGATTACTAAAAAAGAAGAAAAAATAGCATGTTTAGTATAAATTAAAATTATTAATACAAATTTTTTAAGAAAGAGTAACTTTATAGTTATTGGTAGCCTCACCTTTAATGGAGATATCTTTGACTGCCAGCAACAGCTTTATTACATCAAATTTGATTTATTTTCCCTTTATTACTCTTCATTACTGACTCGCTGGTATCTGATCTTCACATATTTCATCTTTAGCACATCTGGCCTTGCAGCACTATATGACCCTTGTGGGTTTAGTGATTAGTTTTCAGTGTAATAATAATAATAGTTACTGGTGGAGTAAATTTAATTGTTAATCAATATTTTTAACACGCTGGTTGTCTCCCACTGAAGCAGGGTGACCCAAAAAAAAGAAAGAAACACTTTAATCATCATTCAACACCTTCACTATTATGTACAAGGGGCCTGGACATGCAGCAGGCATGTGTGAGCCTGTTCGATAGCAGTGAATGGAAACAAATGGTTTTTGGGACCTGACGAGATGTTGGAGTGTGAACAGGGTAATATTTTCTGAAGGGATTCAGGGAAACAGGTCAGCCGGACTTGAGCCCTGAAAGTGAGAAGTACAATACCAGCACTTTAAAGGAGGGGTCTGGGGTATTGGAAGTTTGGAGGGACATCTAAACTGCCGTATCTGAGTGCCTCTGTAAAGACAGCGATTATGTATAAGTGATGTTGAGAGTGTTGAATGATGACAAAAGTTTTTTCTTTCTTTTTGGGTCACCCTGCCTTGAAACCTGTAACTGTTTTGCATGATGGTAGGATGGCTGGTTTCTTTTTCTGTCTCATAAACACGCTAGATAACAGGGATATCTTGCTACTCCTACTTACACTTTGGTCACACTTCACAGACATGCACATGCATATACATATACGTACATCTAGGTTTTTCTCCTTTTTCTAAATAGCTCTTGTTCTTCTTTATTTCGTCTATTGTCCATGGGGAAGTGGAAAAGAATCTTTCCTCCGTAAGCCATGCATGTCGTATGAGGCGACTAAAATGCCGGGAGCAATGGGCTAGTAACCCCTTCTCCTGTAGACATTTACTAAAAAAAGAGAAGAAAAACTTTATAAAACTGGGATGCTTGAATGTGCGTGGATGTAGTGCGGATGACAAGAAACAGATAATTGCTGATGTTATGAATGAAAAGAAGTTGGATGTCCTGGCCCTAAGCGAAACAAAGCTGAAGGGGGTAGGGGAGTTTCGGTGGGGGGAAATAAATGGGATTAAATCTGGAGTATCTGAGAGAGTTAGAGCAAAGGAAGGGGTAGCAGTAATGTTGAAGGATCAGTTATGGAAGGAGAAAAGAGAATACGAATGTGTAAATTCAAGAATTATGTGGATTAAAGTAAAGGTTGGATGCGAAAAGTGGGTCATAATAAGCGTGTATGCACTTGGAGAAGAGAGGAATGCAGAGGAGAGAGAGCTATTTTGGGAGATGTTAAGTGAATATATAGGAGCCTTTGAACCAAGTGAGAGAGTAATTGTGGTAGGGGACCTGAATGCTAAAGTAGGAGAAACTTTTAGAGAGGGTGTGGTAGGTAAGTTTGGGGTGCCAGGTGTAAATGATAATGGGAGCCCTTTGATTGAACTTTGTATAGAAAGGGGTTTAGTTATAGGTAATACATATTTTAAGAAAAAGAGGATAAATAAGTACACAAGATATGATGTAGGGCGAAATGACAGTAGTTTGTTGGATTATGTATTGGTAGATAAAAGACTGTTGAGTAGACTTCAGGATGTACATGTTTATAGAGGGGCCACAGATATATCAGATCACTTTCTAGTTGTAGCTACACTGAGAGTAAAAGGTAGATGGGATACAAGGAGAATAGAAGCATCAGGGAAGAGAGAGAGGTGAAGGTTTATAAACTAAAAGAGGAGGCAGTAAGGGTAAGATATAAACAGCTATTGGAGGATAGATGGGCTAATCAGAGCATAGGCAATAGGGTTGAAGAGGTATGGGGTAGGTTTAAAAATGTAGTGTTAGAGTGTTTAGCAGAAGTTTGTGGTTACAGGAAAGCGGGTGTGGGAGGGAAGAGGAGCGATTGGTGGAATGATGATGTAAAGAGAGTAGTAAGGGAGAAAAAGTTAGCATATGAGAAGTTTTTACAAAGTAGAAGTGATGCAAGGAGGGAAGAGTATATGGAGAAAAAGAGAGAGGTTAAGAGAGTGGTGAAGCAATGTAAAAAGAGAGCAAATGAGAGAGTGGGTGAGATGTTATCAACAAATTTTGTTGAAAATAAGAAAAAGTTTTGGAGTGAGATTAACAAGTTAAGGAAGCCTAGAGAACAAATGGATTTGTCAGTTAAAAATAGGAGAGGAGAGTTATTAAATGGAGAGTCAGAGGTATTGGGAAGATGGAGGGAATATTTTGAGGAATTGTTAAATGTTGATGAAGATAGGGAAGCTGTGATTTCTTGTATAGGGCAAGGAGGAATAATATCTTGTAGGAGCGAGGAAGAGCCAGTTGTGAGTGTGGGGGAAGTTCGTGAGGCAGTGGGTAAAATGAAAGGGGGTAAGGCAGCCGGGATTGATGGGATAAAGATAGAAATGTTAAAAGCAGGTGGGGATATAGTTTTGGAGTAGTTGGTGCAATTATTTGATAAATGTATGGAAGAGGGTAAGGTACCTAGGGATTGGCAGAGAGCATGCATAGTTCCTTTGTATAAAGGCAAAGGGGACAAAAGAGAGTGCAAAAATTATAGGGAGATAAGTCTGTTGAGTATACCTGGTAAAGTGTATGGTAGAGTTATTATTGAAAGAATTAAGAGTAAGATGGAGAATAGGATAGCAGATGAACAAGGAGGCTTTAGGAAAGGTAGGGGGTGTGTGGACCAGGTGTTTACAGTGAAACATATAAGTGAACAGTATTTAGATAAGGCTAAAGAGGTCTTTGTGGCATTTATGGATTTGGAAAAGGCATATGACAGGGTGGATACGGGGGCAATGTGGCAGATGTTGCAGGTGTATGGTATAGGAGGTAGGTTACTGAAAGCAGTGAAGAGTTTTTACGAGGATAGTGAGGCTCAAGTTAGAGTATGTAGGAAAGAGGGAAATTATTTCCCAGTAAAAGTAGGCCTTAGACAAGGATGTGTGATGTCACCGTGGTTGTTTAATATATTTATAGATGGGGTTGTAAGAGAAGTAAATGCGAGGGTCTTGGCAAGAGGCGTGGAGTTAAAAGATAAAGAATCACACATAAAGCGGGAGTTGTCACAGTTGCTCTTTGCTGATGACACTGTGCTCTTGGGAGATTCTGAAGAGAAGTTGCAGAGATTGGTGGATGAATTTGGTAGGGTGTGCAAAAGAAGAAAATTAAAAGTGAATACAGGAAAGAGTAAGGTTATGAGGATAACAAAAAGATTAAGTGATGAAAGATTGGATATCAGATTGGAGGGAGAGAGTATGGAGGAGGTGAATGTATTCAGATGTATGGGAGTGGACTTGTCAGCGGATGGGTCTATGAAAGATGACCTGAATCATAGAATTGATGAGGGGAAAAGGTGCGTGTCTGTGAAGTGTGACCAAAGTGTGAGTAGCAAGATATCCCTGTTATCTAGTGTGTTTATGACACAGAAAAAGGTAATTAATACTTTTTCCTAAAACAGACTGTATCCCACTGAAAAATATGATATTCAGTACAGAATTGGTACTGAATGTATATATGCAGTTTTAATTTAAAGTATTGAATTAATATAATTTAGAATATTTCACATTACCAAAATACAAATTAAGTCACAAAAATAAAGAATAAAGAGACTGGTTTTGAGTACTTTAATACTTTTATAAACTGTCCCTCTGAAGGAAGGTTGCAGCACAGACTCACAGAATTAGTCCCATGCTGCAATCCTTGAATCGAGTCTGAATGCCTTCCATTCCTCCAGGTGCTTTATGACCCCTTATGGGTTTTATGGGTTTAGCACTCCCCATGAATGTAAAAATAATAATTCTATCAACCATTTATAAATTACTCTTAGAGTCCATATGGAAAACAGAATGGATAAATGAAAAAGCCAGAGAAGTTACCTTGTAATGTCAATGATGCAAGTTTGTTATTCCATCTTTCTTCAGCACGCTTTCTCGTTTCTGCACTTATAATGTATCTGTCATTCAGTCTGCCTGCAGATGTTCTCCAACCTACACCTCTGCAAAACAATAAATATGGCAGTCGTGCATATCGAGAGACAGTGGCTAAAATATTTGTTATTAGAAAATCATGGCAAATTTCTAGTACTGCACTGCCACTCATTCTAAACCAAAATACCCTAATCAAATATCACATGCAAAACCTAAATCTCTCAAATATACAAAAATATTTTGCCATTATTAATAATGGGAGCAAAGGGCTAGTAATCCCTTCTCCTGTATAAATTACTAAATTTAAAAAGAAAAACTTTTTTTTTTAGATCACCCTCCCTTGGTGGGATATGGCTGGTTCACTGAAAAAAAAAATACTACAATAATCACCATTAATATATTTTTTACTATGAATTTTTTATTACCAAATCAGTCATTCTTCCCAAGAAATAGAGTGGGTAATTTTTTTTTATTTTTTAACACACTGGCCATCTCTCACCGAGGCAGGGTGACCTGAAAAAAAGAAACACTTTCACCATCATTCAGTCTATCACTGTCTTGCCAGAGGCACACAGATACAACAGTTTATATGTTCCTCTAAACAGCAAATATCTAAAACCATAAGAGAAATTTTAATTGCTTGCATTTCCCAGAGTTACAAGCAAGATAAGTCGTATGGTTCTAAATATGCTGTCAACCGACAGAACATTTAATTATGCACTTTAGTAATAACAATTATAGTACAGTATAATACTTTAACAAAGGGAATATTTAATCCATATTTTAGTTCTACAGTAATGTATTTTAATGATTTTATTTCTAGAAAAATAAACTTTTGCAAGTAAAATGTGTTTCAAACAGGTAAAATACATTCATGAGATATCTTTATATAACTCGAAATGCACTGCATGCTAGGGAGGCTTTCTTTGATGCCTAACTATTTTATTAGATATAAACTACATTATATCTTCAAACTGCATAAAAGAAATAGAGAATTTGAATCTGTGTATAGTTATTTGGTACAGTAAACTCGTTGTACACAAAATTTTCTATGTTGTGAGACAGTGCATCACCAGCAGCAACAGCCTGATTGACCAGGCAAGCACCAGATAAGCCTGGCCCATGGCCGGGCTCTGGGAGTAAAAAAAATCTCTTGGATCTCATCAAAGGTATATCAAAGGTATTCCATATGGATTCAGTCACAGTACTGGCAAAAGCACAAGTAGAAACTAACATGTCTGCAACACTCTTCTAGCCCTGCAACACTCTTCTAGCTCTGCAACACTCTTCTAGCCCTGCAACACTCTTCTAGCCCTGCAACACTCTTCTAGCCCTGCAACACTCTTCTAGCCCTGCAACACTCTTCTAGCCCTGCAACACTCTTCTAGCCCTGCAACACTCTTCTAGCCCTGCAACACTCTTCTAGCCCTGCAACACTCTTTCTAGCCCTGCAACACTCTTCTAGCCCTGAAACACTCTTCTAGCCCTGCAACACTCTTCTAGCCCTGCAACACTCTTCTAGCCCTGCAATAGTATTCTAGCCCTGCAATACTATTCTAGCCCTGCAACACTCTTCTAGCCCTGCAACACTCTTCTAGCCCTGCAATACTATTCTAGCCCTGCAATACTATTCTAGCCCTGCAACACTCTTCTAGCCCTGCAACACTCTTCTAGCCCTGCAACACTCTTCTAGCCCTGCAACACTCTTCTAGCCCTGCAACACTCTTCTAGCCCTGCAATACTATTCTAGCCCTGCAACACTCTTCTAGCCCTGCAACACTCTTCTAGCCCTGCAATACTATTCTAGCCCTGCAATACTATTCTAGCCCTGCAACACTCTTCTAGCCCTGCAATACTATTCTAGCCCTGCAACACTCTTCTAGCCCTGCAACACTCTTCTAGCCCTGCAACACTCTTCTAGCCCTGCAACACTTCTAGCCCTGCAATACTATTCTATCCCTGCAACACTCTTCTAGCCCTGCAATACTATTCTAGCCCTGCAACACTCTTCTAGCCCTGCAACACTCTTCTAGCCCTGCAATACTATTCTAGTCCTGCAACACTCTTCTAGCCCTGCAATACTATTCTAGCCCTGCAATACTATTCTAGCCCTGCAACACTCTTCTAGCCCTGCAATACTATTCTAGCCCTGCAACACTCTTCTAGCCCTGCAATACTATTCTAGCCCTGCAACACTCTTCTAGCCCTGCAACACTCTTCTAGCCCTGCAACACTCTTCTAGCCCTGCAATAGTATTCTAGCCCTGCAATACTATTCTAGCCCTGCAACACTCTTCTAGCCCTGCAACACTCTTCTAGCCCTGCAATACTATTCTAGCCCTGCAATACTATTCTAGCCCTGCAACACTCTTCTAGCCCTGCAACACTCTTCTAGCCCTGCAACACTCTTCTAGCCCTGCAACACTCTTCTAGCCCTGCAACACTCTTCTAGCCCTGCAATACTATTCTAGCCCTGCAACACTCTTCTAGCCCTGCAACACTCTTCTAGCCCTGCAATACTATTCTAGCCCTGCAATACTATTCTAGCCCTGCAACACTCTTCTAGCCCTGCAACACTCTTCTAGCCCTGCAACACTCTTCTAGCCCTGCAATAGTATTCTAGCCCTGCAATACTATTCTAGCCCTGCAACACTCTTCTAGCCCTGCAACACTCTTCTAGCCCTGCAATACTATTCTAGCCCTGCAATACTATTCTAGCCCTGCAACACTCTTCTAGCCCTGCAACACTCTTCTAGCCCTGCAACACTCTTCTAGCCCTGCAACACTCTTCTAGCCCTGCAACACTCTTCTAGCCCTGCAATACTATTCTAGCCCTGCAACACTCTTCTAGCCCTGCAACACTCTTCTAGCCCTGCAACACTCTTCTAGCCCTGCAACACTCTTCTAGCCCTGCAATACTATTCTAGCCCTGCAACACTCTTCTAGCCCTGCAACACTCTTCTAGCCCTGCAACACTCTTCTAGCCCTGCAATACTATTCTAGCCCTGCAATACTATTCTAGCCCTGCAATACTATTCTAGCCCTGCAACACTCTTCTAGCCCTGCAACACTCTTCTAGCCCTGCAATACTATTCTAGCCCTGCAATACTATTCTAGCACTGAAATGATTGACAAATCAATATTGTACCTACTGTTTTTCAGCAATGCTGAGGGACCTGGCAGCTTTATCTTCCAGTATCTGTCTTCTGTTTATTCTTTGCAACATGTCATCTTCAAATTCATTATCGTATAAAAGATTCAATGCAGGCACAGAGTCATTTTCAAAGCTATTTTCAGCATTTTCATATAATCTATCCATTGCACTGTATTTGGTACAATCTGAATGATCATCCCTGTCATATTTTATTAAATCTGTATTACCATTTTCATATTCATATAGTTCATGCAAATATTTTATAACATTTTCACTGTTATTTGTAACTACAGTATCACTAATTTTTTTCAAGAATTGAGAATCCCTCGACTGAGTATTACAGGTATCATTACTTGTTTTACTTTCACTGCTTTCTGTGGTTAGAATTTTATCACTGTGTCTGTTTTCTAATTTCATAATATTAATTTCTTCACCAATATTTTGTGCACAGTTAGGTTTAGCCACACCAGCAGTAGCTATTGCAGCAGCAATGTTGGTATAATGCTTCAGCGCTTCAGCCACCTTTAGTGACGAACACTGAGGTGGATGAGCCAACACTGCACAGCTGTCCTCCTCCGAGTCTGAAGTCTTTTCAACTGATGAGAAATAAAAGTGATTTGGGAGAATATCGTGATTACACTTTCATTTTCAATTTCATCATATACATTTATTATAATAATAGTAATAATAATAGTACAGTGGACCCCCGCATACCGGACGCCTTGCATAACGGACAATCCGCATACCGGACGCTTTGATCGCTAAAATTTTGCCTCGCATACCGCCCAAAAACCCGCTCAGCGCCCTTCGTCCGAGACGCGTCCAATGTGCGGCCTGAGCCAGCCTCATATGTTCCGCCGGTGGCATTGTTTACCAGCCAGCCTCCGCGGTAACATTCAAGCATACAATCGGAATATTTCGTATTATTACAGTGTTTTCGGTGCTTTATCTGGAAAATAAGTGACCATGGGCCCCAAGAAAGCTTCTAGTTCCAACCCTACAGCAATAAGGGTTATAATTCCAATAGAGATGAAGAAAGAGATCATTGATAAGTATGAAAGTGGAGTGCGTATCACCGACCTTCTCAGGTTGTACAAGAAACCCAAATCAACCATCTCTACTATTGTGGGCAACAGAAAGGCAATCAAGGAAGCTATTCTTGCCAAAGGTTTAACTGTGTTTTCGAAACAGAGATCGCAAGTGATGGAAGATGTTGAGAGACTCTTATTGGTGTGGATAAATGAAAAACAGCTAGCAGGAGATAGCGTTTCTCAAGCGATCATAAGCGAAAAGGCTAGGAAGTTGCATGAGGATTTAATTAAAAAAAAGGCTGCAACTAGTGATGATGTGGAGTGAATTTAAAGGCCAACAAAGGTTGGTTTGAGAGATTTAAGAAGCGTAGTGGCATACATAGTGTGATAAGGCATGGTGAGGCTGCCAGTTCGGACCACAAAGCGGCTGAAAAATATGTGCAGGAATTCAAGGAGTGCATAGAAACTGAAGGACTGAAACCTGAACAAGTGTTTAATTGTGATGAAACAGGCCTGTTTTAGAAGAAAATGCCAAGCAGGACCTACATTACTCAGGAGGAAAAGGCACTCCCAGGACAAAAAGCCATGAAAGACAGGCTTACTTTGTTGATGTGTTCCAATGCTACTGGTGATTGCAAAGTGAAGCCTTATTAGTGTATCACTCTGAAACTCCCAGACCGTTCAGGCAAAAGAATGTCCTCAAGGAAAATTTGTGTGTGCTGTGGAGGGCAAACAGTAAGGCATGGGTCACTAGGGACTTTTTCTATGACTGGTTACACCATGCATTGCCCCCAATGTGAAAGATTACCTAACTGAAAAGAAATTAGAACTTAAGTGCCTCCTGGTGTTAGACAATGCCCCTGGTCATCCTACAGACGTGGCAGAGCGACTTTATGGGGACATGAAATTCATTAACATCAAGTTTTTGCCTCCTAATACCACTCCTCTCCTGCAGCCCATGGACCAGCAGGTTATTGCAAACTTCAAAAAACTGTACACAAAAGCTCTGTTTGAAAGGTGCTTTGTAGTGACCTCAGAAACTCAACTGACTCTAAGAGACTTTTGGAGAGATCACTTTAATATCCTCAATTGTATAAACCTTATAGGCAAGGCTTGGGAGGGAGTGACTAAGAAGACCTTGAATTCTGCTTGGAAGAAACTGTGGCCAGAATGTGTAGACAAAAGGGATTTTGAAGGGTTTGAGGCTAACCCTGAGAGGAGTATGCCAGTTGAGGAATCAATTGTGGCATTGGGGAAGTCCTTGGGGTTGGAGGTTAGTGGGGAGGATGTGGAAGAGTTGGTGGAGGACGACAATGAAGAACTAACCACTGATGAGCTGATAGATCAACTTCAAGAGCAAGAGGCCAGACCTGAGGAAACTGGTTCAAAGGAGGGGAGAGAGAAATTGAAGGAATTGCCTACTACAAAGATTAAGGAAATGTGTGCAAAATGGCTTGAAGTGCAAACCTTTTTTGATGAAAATCACCCTCACACAGCTATTGCAAGCCGTGTTGGCAACCTGTACACTGACAATGTTGTGAAACACTTTAGGAAGTCATAAAGGAACGAGAGTACAGGCCACTATGGACAGATATGTTGTGCGAAGAAGTCCAGTGACTCTGAAGCTGGTCCTAGTGGCATTAAAAGAAGAAAGGGAAGTAACCCCAGAAAGGACTCGACACCTCAAGTCTTAATGGAAGGGGATTCCCCTTCTAAAACACTAACACTCTTCTCTTCCCTCCTCCCATCCCATCAATCATCACCAGATCTTCAATAAAAGTAAGTGTCATGTAATTGTGCATGCCTTTTTCAGTTTGTGTGTATTAAAATTAACATTTCATGCGGTAAAAATTTTGTTTTTCATACTTTTGGGTGTCTTGCACGGATTAATTTGATTTCCATTATTTCTTATGGGGAAAATTCATTCGCATACCGAACATTTCGCATAACAGCCAGCCCTCTTGCACGGATTAAGGTCGCTATGCGGGGGTCCACTGTAGTAGGTTAGTAGACAGCAACCGCCCAAGGAGGTACTACCGTCCTGCCAAGTGAGTGTAAAACGAAAGCCTGTAACTGTTTTACATGATGGTAGGATTGCTGGTGTCCTTTTTTCTGTCTCATGAATATGCAAGATTTCAGGTATGTCTTGCTACTTGTACTTACTTAGGTCACACTACACATATGTTTTTTTTTTTTCAACAAGTCGGCCGTCTCCCACCGAGGCAGGGTGACCCAAAAAAGAAAATCCCCAAAAAGAAAATACTTTCATCATTCAACACTTTCACCACACTCACACATTATCACTGTTTTTGCAGAGGTGCTCAGAACACAACAGTTTAGAAGCATACACATATAAAGATACACAACATATCCCTCCAAACTGCCAATATCCCAAACCCCTCCTTAAAAGTGCAGGCATTGTACTTCCCATTTCCAGGACTCAAGTCCGACTATATGAAAATAACCGGTTTCCCTGAATCCCTTCACTAAATATTACCCTGCTCACACTCCAACAGATCGTCAGGTCCCAAGTACCATTCGTCTCCATTCACTCCTATTTAACACGCTCACGCACACTTGCTGGAAGTCCAAGCCCCTTGCCCACAAAACCTCCTTTACCCCCTCTCTCCAACCCTTTCGAGGACGACCCCTACCCCTCCTTCCTTCCCCTATAGATTTATATGCTTTCCATGTCATTCTACTTTGATCCATTCTCTCTAAATGACCAAATCACCTCAACAACCCCTCTTCTGCCCTCTGACTAATACTTTTATTAACTCCACACCTTTTCCTAATTTCCACACTCCGAATTTTCTGCATAATATTTACACCACACATTGCCCTTAACCCCTTCAGGGTCCAAGGCCAAAATCTGAAGTGGTGCTCCAGTGTCCAAGAAATTTTGAAAAAAAAAAAAAAAATATTTTTTCTTACAGAATTAAAGAGCATATTTTTGTGAAGGTAATAAGACAAAAAAAAAAATTCTGATCAGTACTTACCAAGATACAGTGCCAAGAAGTTTGTTGAAAATGATGTGGTGGCGGCAACATCGACGAATTCCACATACGCGCATTACATTATTTTGCGGTTTTTGTTGTTTTTTCTTTTCTTTTCCAATTTTTTTCTATTCCTACTAACATTTGGGGCCTGAGAGACCAATACTGTATATAATGTATATATATAAACTCACTGTATTGAACACAATAACCGCACTAAAGTTATTATCATATTATTGTTTACCACTGTTGTTTATTACAAAAAACATACACAAATCTTGTTAATTTAAACTA